TGTGTGTGTGTGTGTGTGTGTGTGTGTGTGTGTGTGTGTGTGTGTTTTTGTGTGTGTGTGTGTGTGTGTGTGTGTGTGTCTGTGTCTGTGCGTGCGTGCGTGCGTGTGCGTGCGGGCGTGTGTGTGTGAGCGAGACTACTATCTCATCTTCATCCGCCATTGATTTTTAGGCACGACAGCACGCATAGTAAAAGCGATCGTAGATTTTTAGGGCGACTGCTGCAATCCTCGTGGAATTTCTTTTCTCGTGGATTATTACTAGCACCTATTCTATGACAGCTATTCTAGCTCATCTTCATCCGCCATTGATTTTTAGGCGACTGCTGCAATCCTCGTGGAATTTCTCGAAGAATATTACTAGCAGCGCGTAAAAATGAAACCAAGCCTTCCTTGCGGGCGTCGTCGACAAATCTAACTTCTATGATCGCAGCCTTCTTCTCCCGACGATATGCGTAAACATGCATTTCCCTCGCGTTTTACATGCATCTTTAATGTCCTGACAGGTTTCCCATGCAGCGTATAAGGCTCGGTGACTGCCCGCTGTGTCTTCTAGAAACCGAATCAGTAATACTCCTTACTGATACGCTTATTATCGTATTTTTTGGCAATAAACAAACGCGTAACTAATAACTAAAAATAAACTAAATAAATATTTGAATAGACTACGTCATGAATTTTCGATGGTGTATATTTATAAAATCTTTGTTGCAATTTTTTTTACATGAAAAGTAAGTACTTAATGGCACTAAATGTATTCTCAAATTCTTACATAATCGGATTGTTTTTCAGCTAGTTAAAAAGTCAAAAAATCTAGGCGATTTGATATATTTATCACGACATTAAATGCTTGCTATGGACTATGTATGAGTCACGAGTGTTTGTTCACATCGAATGGAATAGCAAAATAGGTAGTATAATGCAGCAATTTATCCATAAAGAGTGAACAGAATCACTTACATTTCGTGAAAACTTTACATCTTTTTACTTTTACTATTTACGGTGACGTAATCCCTTTATAGTATTTAAATTATAAGCGCGCTTTTCCCTATACGCGCGCACCGCGTAGGTGTATAGACGAGGGAGCGAATGTATCGCCGCGGGCAGAATAAATATATATATACAGCGAACGCTGCGGGCTTGTCGATACTTCTGTTTGTGTTAGCGAAATGTAAATAAACAGTAAACTATAAATATATCCCCGCGCGTGCGCGAGAGAGGGCGCCTCGAGCGTAAGCGTCTCTGGCGAAGTCGTCCGTCAGACGAGCATGCGTAGAAAGATCCGCGCATCGCTGGCTGGCCGCGGGAGGAGGGAGGGGAGGGGAGGAGGGAGGGGGAGGGAGGCTGAGGAGTTAGGGATGTCACGTATGGTTTCAGCTTCTCCGAATCTTAAGTTTGTTAAGCGTCGTCGTTATCTCCACTGCCTATCTCGGCTGCTTATCTCGGCTGCTTATCTCAGCGGTTAGTTGGTCTGGCTATCTCGCTTGCTTATCTCGCCTGGTTATCTCTTCTCTGCTTATCTCTGCTGATTATCTATGCAGGTTATCTCGCCTGGTTATCTCGTCTGATTATCTCTTCTCTGGTTATCTCTGCTGGTTATCTCGGCTGGGTATCTCTACTGGTTATCTCTGCTGGTTCTCTGGGCTGGCTATCTCTACTGGTTATCTCTGCTGGATATATCGACTGGATATCTCCACTGGTTATCTCGGCTGGTTATCTCTGCTGGGTATCTCCACTGGTTACCTCGGCGGTTATCTCGTCTTGGTCGTCTCGCGTGCGCCGTATTCGATTGCGAGCAGCACTGTACATACGCGCGTGCGGTGGAGGCAGCGACGGAGACGGAGGCGTAGGCGGCGGCAGCGGCAGCGGCGGAGGCGGCGGCGGCGGCAGCGCAGGATATTGATAACGGCTGCCCGACAGTGGCTCCCCCGCAGTGGCTGCCACCTGCCTCCTAGCGGCCTGTGAATGAAGCTAGCTCGATCTGCTGGCCTAGATGTATGTGTCATCCTCACAAATTGATTGAACATCGGGCGCTTGTCTGTCTGTCTGTGTGTGCGCGCGTGTGTGTGTTAAGTAAACGGTCGTCAGATGGAGAAGATAGGACAGGCGAGAGTCATTCGGTGAGCGTTAGCTTCACATCAGCTCGTCATAAGCTCTGCGTTAAATAAAGCACTTGGGCTGAGCCATCCTTCGTACGTACGTACGCACGAACACACACGCACGCACGCACACACACACGCACGCACATACACACGCACGCGCACGCACGCACTAACGCACACAACGCACCCCCCCCCCCCACACACACACACCACGAACACACCACAAACACACACGTATACGC